AAAGTAGCCAGGCATGGTGGCAAGCACCTGTAGTCCCAGCTACTCAGGAGGCTGAGGCAGGAGAATCACTTGAACCCAGGAGGCAGAGGTTGTTGTGAGCTGAGATCACACCACGGCACTCCAGCCTGGGTAACAGAGTAACTCTGTCTCAAAAAAAAAAAAAAAAAAAAAAAAAAAAATTAGCTGAGTGTGGTGACATATGCCTCTTATCCCAGCTACTCAGGAGGCTGAAGCAGGAGAAATGCTTCAACCTGGAAGGTGGAGATTGCAGTGAGCAGAGATCTCACTATTGCTCTCTAGCCTTAGTGACAGAATGAGAGACTCCTTCTCAAAAAAAAAAGGAAGATTGGTCAGTTTCACCTACAAGATCAAAGGCAACTTCAGGGTAAAACAGACCCTTCAGCCAAGTAGTGTTGCCATGTGGACAGTGCTGGAGTGACAGCAGTGTAGACAGAAGAAAGATGAGGGAATTCGGGCCTCCATGTGTCTGGAGTCCAGGTGAATGTGTGTGTCTGGGGTAGTGGGAGGTGGCGATGGAGAGGGAAAGGCTGGGTCAGAGATAGATTTGAAGTGTACATGCTGCAAGGACTTTAGACCTAATACTGCAAGTGGAAGAGGACCCGGGACAGTTGGATGTATAAGTCTGAGGCACAGGCGAGGGGGTTAGCACAGAGACGGTGTAGCAAAGCAAGGCTCGGCCATGCCGATAGCGTGGAAAATGGCACAACCCCCAGAAAAGACAATTTAGCAACAGCTCAGGAAAGTACAAATGGCTTTGCCTGTTGACCCAGCAATTCTCCTGGAAATCTATGCCTTAAAGACACACGTGTACAGACTTAAAATGTGGTAGAAATATGATTATACCTTTTTGAAACAGGAAAAGATTGGAAGCAGTCCAGGAGTCTATCTAGAAGGGGCCAGTTAATGGAATACTGTACTTTTGCTGCAGAAAAGGAGGAGGATGCTCTCTGTGCACTGATTTGGAGTGATTTCCAGGATATACGTTAGATTTAAAAAAAAAAAAAAAAAAAAAAAGCAAAAGCAAGGGGCGGGGCACAGTGGCTCACGCCTATAATCCCAGCGCTTTGGGAGGCTGAGGTGGGTGGATCACGAGGTCAAGAGATTGAGACTATCCTGGCCAACATAGTGAAACCCTATCTCAACTAAAAATACAAAAATTAGCTGGGCATGGTGGCACGCACCTGTAGTCCCAGCTACTCAGGAGGCTGAGGCAGGAGAATCGCTTGAACCCGGGAGGCAGAGGTTGCAGTGAGCCGAGATCATGCCACTGCACACTCTCCAGCCTAGTGACAGACTGAGACTCCAACTCAAAAAAAAAAAAAAAAAAAAAAAAAAAAAGCAAGGTGCAGAACAGTGGATGAGGTATGCTGTCTTTTATGTAAGAAAGTGCAGAAAATATGGGAATAGGATGCGAGTAAAACTTCTCAGAAAATACATTTGATTTTCGAATCATATAAATCTATTAACCCTTCAAAATAAATTAAAAAAATATATAGTCAGGGTGTGGTGGTTCACACCTGTAATCCCAACATTTTGGGAGGCTGAGGTGGGAGAATCACTTGAGGAGTTTGAGACCAGACTGGGCAACATGGCATCTCTACCAAAAAAAATGAAAGATATATGAGTAAAATTTCCCAGAGAAAATGCAAGTGCAAGATTAGACAAAGTCTTGGGTCACAATCCTTAGGACATTCACTTTTGTTTTTCTTTTTTTGAGATGGTGAAGTTTTACTCTATTGCCCAGGTTAGAGTGCAGTAGTGAGATCTCAGCTCCCTGCAACCTCCACCTCCTGGGTTCAAGTGATTCTCCTGTCTCAGCCTTCCAAGTAGCTGGGATTACAGGCACCCGCCACCACGCCCAGCTGATTTTTGTATTTTTAGTAGAGACGGGATTTCACCATGTTGGCCAGGTTGGTCTTAAACTCCTGACCACCCGCCTGGGCCTCCCAAAGTGCTGGGATTACAGGCGTGAGTCACCATAACCAGCCCTATTCTGTATATTTCATGTAAGAGGAATCACACAATATGTGACCTTTCTTTTTTCAAGACGGAGTCTTACTCTGTTGCCCAGGCTGGAGTGCTGTGGTGCCCTCTTGGCTCACTGGAACCTCCATCTCACACGTTCAAGTGATTCTCCTGCCTCTGCCTTCTGAGTAGCTGGGACTACAGGTGCTCACCTCCACGCCTGGCAAATTTTTTTGTATTTTTAGTAGAGACGAGGTTTTGCCATGTTGGCCAGCCTGGTCTCAAACTTGGCCTCAAGTGATCCTCCTGCCTCTGCCTCCCAAAGTGCTGGGATTATAGGTGTGAGCCCCTGCACCTGGCCAGTATATGACCTGTTATTAGTCTTTTTTCACAGAGCGTAATGTTTCTGAGGCGCATCCAGGTTGCAGCTTATATTAATACTTCTTTCCTCTTAACGGCTAAGTAACCCTTCACATGCATATGCCACTATTTGTTTATCCACACATTTTTAGAAGGGAACATTGATTTTTTAAAATAGGCTTTCTTGGCTGGCCGCAGTGGCTCATGCCTATAATCCCAGCACTTTGGGATGAGGTGGGCAGATCACCTGAGGTCAGGAGTTTTGTTTTTTTTCTGAGACAACATCTTGCTCAGTCACCCAGGCTGGAGTGCAGTGGCGCAGTCACTGCAGCCTCAACCTCCTAGGCTCAAGTGATCTTCCGACCTCAGCCTCCCAAGTAGCTGGGCTACAGGTGTGTGCCACCATGCTTGGCCGATTTTTACATTTTTTTGCTATTTGGCCAGGCTGGTCTCAAACTCCTGGGCTCAAGTGATCCTCCTGCCTTGGCCTCCCAAAGTGCTGGGATTACAGGTGTGAGTCGCATGCTCAACACCAGGGATTTCCCCTCTGTTGCCATCACCCTGTGGGCCCCTTACCCTTCTCATTTTCTTCTCATTGGTAGTGGTGTGTGGTTTTCTTCTTGATGACCAGGACAAAGGTTCCAGCCATCACCCTGCCCTCCCCTTTTGTCTCCTCCCCTGTCCCACAAGGTTTGAACTTCCCAGCTTCGCCACATTTAACATACCACTTCATCTTTAAAAATATATATATTTTTAGGCCGGGCACGGTGGCTCATGCCTGTAATCTCAGCACTTTGGGAGGCCAAGGCAGGCGGATCATCTGGAGTCAGGAGTTCGAGACCAGCCTGGCCAACATGGTGAAACCCCGTTTCTACTAAAAATAGAAAAAAAATTCTTTCCAACAACTTGACACTTCTAAGAAAAATTTTAAAAATACAAAAACAAAAGCTGGATATGGTGGCACATCCTGTGGCGGGTGCCTGTAGTCCCAGCTACCCAGGAGGCTGAGGCAGGAGAATCGCTTGAACCCGGTAGGCAGAGGTTGCAGAGAGCTGGGATCATGCCACTGCCTCCAGCCTGGGCGACAGAAAGAGAGACTCCATCTCAAAAAATACATATATGTTTTGAGACAGGGTCTCACTCAGTCTGTCACCCAGGTTGGAGTTCAGTGGTGCAGTCTTGGCTTACTGCAGCCTTGACCTCTCGGGCTCAAGCCATCCTCCTGCCTTCGTCTCCCAAAGTGCTGGGATTACAGGAGTGAGCCACTGTGCCCGCCTTACTGCCTCATCCTGTTCCCTGAGGTTCCACTTATCTAGACCTCTAGGGTGTTGTCCAGAAGGAACAGGGCCTGTGGAAGTCAGAAAAAAGAGGCCAATTCGGCTGGGCATGGTGGCTCACGCCTGTAATCTCAGCACTTTGAGAGGCCGAGGTGGGTGGATCACCTGAGGTTAGGAGTTCAAGACCAGCCTGGCCAACATGGTGAAACCCTGTCTTTATAAATAAATTTTTAAAAAGGCTGATTCGACAGCGGACATCGCCTTCTGAGTCATCGCCAAGTGGCTGTGATTAGAATTGGCCACCAGGGGGTGCAATGGAGCCACAGTCTACGAAGGGACACGTCAGAGGCCTTTGGGGAGACCCTGGGGGTTGAAGGTGGGGGTGCCAAGCTGAGGTCTTGGACATGATCACACTGCCAGGCCAAGCCCCAGGAGGTCTCTGGTTGGTCCTGAGAGATCTGTGGAGGGTCCCTTCTAGCAGGCAGGTGGGCCTCAGAGAACAGGGAAGGGCCCTGAGAGAGGGGACCCAGAGACAGGAGGAGTGTGCGTGGTGGGTGGGCAGGGGCGTTGGGACAGGGACACTCCATTGTCAGGGGCTAAGTGTGTCCCAAACCGTATGGGTAGGAGCAGGAGCTTCCTCTGGGGGGTTTTGAAAGAGTACACCTGTGAGACCCAACCTCCAGGGCCACCAGGAGCCCGAGATGGACAGGAGATCTGCACTGCTAGGTGGGGCAGACAGGCAGGCAGCGCAGCAGGGGTGTGGGGGGACGGGGCAGGTGCCAGCTAGAGAAGAGCTAAGGGGCGCAGGATGGGGTGTGAGCTGGAGGGCAGGGGAGAGGGGCCTGCATCCAAGGGAACGCCAGCACCAGGTGCCAAGGCCCGGCAGCCCTGGGAATGGGTGGAGCCACGGTCAATGGCAGTCAGAGAGCTTTGGAGTTGAGATGTTGGGTAGAGCAACTTCCTGAATATTTAAGTAAACTTGAAGTAGAACTTACTTAAAGTGCACAAATTGGCAGCTTGAATTCCCACCACCTCCCCTACAGAAGAGGTGGGCTTGCCTAAGACTCCAAGGGACAGTGGGGGCATCGCTGGTGCTCAGCCAGTCGGTGATGGAACAGGGATTAGAGCTGGACCCCTAAAGCTTAGCCCCATGCTCTCTTCCCCAACCCTGGGGCCTCAGTCAGCCTCTGGTAATCCCTTCTGTGCCCAGGGCACCAGCGCTAATATTTCCCTTCAGCAAGGCAGGGGCAGGGAGTGAGGCTGCCAGAGCCCTGCTGGCGTCATTCTGCCTGGTATAGCTCGGGAGGTGGGGTGGGGGGATTAGAAGTCTCTGAGAACAGCACGACACGCTGCTCGGGTAACACCTGCTACTACAGCTTCGCAGCCAGGAGTCCCAGATTTTTCTGGTTCCTGCGCCTGCGGACAGGCCCCCAGGGCGACTGGCTTTGTGAAGGGAACACTGAATGCCCTCTCCACTGTCCAGGTAGGTGGAACCCCAGTCCCTGGGTGGGGTGGAGAGGCCGGAGCTGTCACGGCAGGGGATTGGGGGGATGGGCAGGTGCCAGTGAGAGAGGCACTAAGGGGCAAAGGATGGTGTGTAAGCTGGACGGCAAGGTGTGCCCTTTAAGGACCCTTCAGCGGTCAGGAACAGGAGCTTCCCTGCTTGGAGCTTGTAGACATGGAGGGAAAAGTGGAATTCATAGAGCTTATTGTCTCGGACGGCGGAGGGAGGGATGGCCTCCTCTAAGAACTGCAGATCTGCGGGGTGTCTTGGGAGACAAGAGTGACCAGAGGGACATGTCTGATGAGCTGGACGTGTGGGGCAGGGGGTGTCCTATGCACCCTCCTTGCCTGCTCCTTCCCATCCCCCAGGCCATTTGCAGCCCCTGACTCCCTCTAACCTCCCCCCCACCACAAATCCTGCATGTGTGTGGTCCAGTCTGAGCCATCCGGATGGAAGTAGAGGCTCCCTAAGGGCTCACTTTGATTGAGGAGCTTTTTCTCTAGGACCAAGGGCTGAGGCTACCTAAGAGCTCTCCGCCACAGGATCTTGCACCCAAAGGACCGTAATCTTCTCTCTGGGCAAGTAAGATAAACCGCGAGAATGGTGGTGTGGGGGACCCGGGCACCACCCACTACACAGTTGCATTAGATGTGGTCACTGGAGGTTCACAAGTCCAGTATCTTCTCTCACTGTGGGCAGCAGGGTAAGGCTGGGATGCCCCAGGCTCCACCGAGCTTTGCTCATCCCTCCCACCATCTCTGGGGCTCAGAAGCACCCAGAAGGCACCCTGAGACCAGTGTCTGCAGGTCTGCAAGGGGCACAAACCTCCATGCATCCTTCTGGCTGCGAGGGAAAGGTGGGGGGCCAGTGCCAATGCTTGCAGTCCCTGGTAATAGCCTCGGGAACCAGGGACCTGGAGAACGTGCCCATTGATTTGGGAGCTGGCTCCGCCCCAGTTCTTGCTGCAAAAGAGGCCAGATGCTCACTCTGTGTGGCCTGCCTCTCTGGAGGTACAGATCAGACCCATGTCTGTTCTCCGACAGGTGCTAGGAGGCTCTCCTCGGCTTAAAAGGCCACTTCCGAAGCGGGGGCACCCCAGGGAGGCAGCAGCGGCCAGGATGTCCATGCAGAGCACCAACCCCCTGAAACCCAAGGCCCCGCATCAGCCACCTGGGATCCCCAAGTCCCCGAGCTGTCAGCGGCGCCACACGCTCCCCGCCAGCGAGTTTCGCTGCCTCACTCTGGAGGACGCTGTCAGCGCCTTTGAGATCGAGCGTGAAGGTGAGTGGTCACACACAGGGTCGAGGGGTGCTCCACTCTGGCCCAGCTATCCTGTGGGGAAGAGACCCTTGAGTCTCCTGTTCTTGGAGGCTGGGTCCCAGAGTATCAGACCAGGTGTGCGCTCAAGAAAGTGGGGAAAACAGCAGCCCTAAACCCCATTTTCCTGTGGGGAGCGGGGCATCTGAGTGGACACTCGGGGTGCCGTGGGCAGTGGGCACGAGGCACAGTGAACCAGTCACCCACCCGAGCCTCCTGCCGCAGCCTTCATCTCTGTCTTGGGCATCTGCCCCCTGGACCTGGATGAGATCCGGCACTTCCTGACCCTGTGTCCAGAGCTGTCCCTGGGCTGGTTCGAGGAGGGCTGCCTCGTGGCCTTCATCATCGGCTCGCTCTGGGACAAGGAGAGACTCATGCAGGTGAGGATGGGGCTGCGACGCCCAGCTCCGGGGAGGCCTCTGAAGACAGAGGTCAGCCACATGGTGGGGAGGGCAGACCAGGGGCTGGGATTTCTTCCTCCAGAACTGGAGAGAGTACAGGCCACAGGACCCTTCCCTGGTATAGCTGCCTGGTATAGCTTGGGAGGTGGGGTGGGGGATTAGAAACCTCTGAGAACAGCACCACGTGCTGCAAGACCTTCTGGGTCTTCAGGTGTTCTCCATGGGGTTGGGGGTATGGCTCCCAATTTGGGGCCCTCCTTGGCTGGGAAGGGAGCCCTGACTACAGGCACCCAGAGGACACCCTGCTCCCCACCTGGGTAGGTGGCTGGGGGGAAGCCCACGTCAGCAGAGGTGACCGGGGCTCTGGTCCCTTGCTCACCCCCAGGAGTCGCTGACACTGCACAGGCCTGGGGGCCACATAGCCCACCTGCATGTGCTGGCCGTGCACCGAGCCTTCCGGCAGCAGGGCAGGGGTCCCATCCTGCTGTGGCGCTACCTGCACCGCCTGGGCAGCCAGCCGGCTGTGCGCCGGGCTGTGCTCATGTGCGAGGACGTGCTGGTACCCTTCTACGAGAGGTTTGGCTTCCACGCCGTGGGTCCCTGCGCCATCAGCGTGGGCTCCCTCACCTTCACGGAGCTCCACTGCTCCCTGCGGAACCACCCCTTCCTGCGCAGGAGCAGCGGCTGCTGAACTGGGCTGCCCACGTGATCCCCTTCTCTGCTCTGGGCTCATCTCAGCTTGGCTGAGCATGGAGACAGCGGTTTCCAGAGAGTGGAGAGAGCAGGGCTAAATAAAGAAGAGATGGGGTGGCTTCTCATGGCCTGAGCTGGAGTGGTGTGTCCCATCTGTCCCCACAAGGCTTCTGAATCTCCTGTGTTCTGAACTCTGTGCCTGAGACCGGGCTGGGTTAAACGGGGACAATGGGAGGCGCTGTGGGGTCCCTGCCGCCTTTCCTCCCTGGGCAGGTGGGCAAAGGCACCAGGGCGGATCCTCACAGGAGCCCAGTGCTCAGGGGGTCCTTATTCTCCCAGCCTCATGGATGCCCCTTCTTACCCTCAGCCCCTGGGGTGGGGACAGTGGGGAGCAGGATGGGGCAGAGGTGGCCTGTGCTGTGGAGGCAGCTTGGGGCAGGGAAGCTGGGGCAGGGCCCTCTGGCCATGGTAATCAAGGGGTCATGCCCCGTGCCTCCCGGGCAGCTCTTCGGTGTGGTGGGTGAGGCACAGGCACAGGGAGTGGACTTGTCCCCAGGCAGGGTGACAGGACAGGACAAGTGCTTTGCCTTCTCCTCAGCACCATCCCCATTGGGGCAGACGGCCCCTGGGCCCAGGCAGCCCCTCCCTGCCCTGCAGCCAAGGCTGAGCAGGTAGGGATGGGAACCCCATGGGCCTTCAAACCAGCCCTCCCAAGTGGATCCCCTGAGGTCTTCACAAGACCCAATCTGGCTTCTGGCCCAACTAAATCCCGAAGAGGCTCCACAAGTTTTCTGCTGTCCACTGGGCCACACCACAGTCTCTGAGGGGCTGATGGGCGATCCCTCACCCCCACATCCCAGGGTCCTTCTACCTGAGGTCTCCGTTAAGACAACACTGCCATAAAGAATATTATTTAATCCATAAGATATCCGTACAAAGTTAGCGTTCCTTTGAAAAATTAAGACTGATATAAACTGGTAGAAAACGGGCCTGATGAGCCTTGAGCACCTGCTGGGGGCAGGCCTCGGGGTGGCTCCGCCCAGGCTCATTTCACCTGAGGTCTGCTTGTGTCTCCTCGCTTGCTCTCTGCCCCTAGACTATGGCCAAAGCCTCTCCCGCAATGTCCTGTCTGAGAGCCTTACGGATGGGCTACGGGGCAGAGGTAGGACAAACAGGAAGGGCCATGGTGGGCACCCAGCCCTGGGGCAACTAAGGGCACAGCCACGTCCCCAGCAAGGGCACGCTTGGGTAGTAGTGGGGGAGAAGGCACCACAGGCAGCGCTGAGGACCCTGGGAAGAAAAGGAGCCTGCCCCCAGGAGATGGTCACAGCAGGGAGCGGGAGGATGTCGGGACCCGGGACCCGAGACTCAGAGAGGCAGGTGCCTTAGGTGTGCCGGCGCTTGGGCCAGGAGCACGCAGGCCTCACGCCCCCAAAGAACCCGGCTTAACCGACCATCTCGCACACAGTCAGCCTCGCCTGGCAGCGGGGGGCCCGGGTCCAGAGCCCGGGCACTGTCTTGGGTCACTGGCATGCAGGGCACTCAGCAGTGGGCAGCCCTTGCAGGCAGCCCCCGTGCCAGCGGTGCCGTGGTGCAGCCGCGGGACCCGGGTCAGTGCAGCACCTGGTCCAGCTCGTACTTCTCGCAGAAGCGGCTGGTGAAGGGGAAGCAGGTGAGGTGCTCGATCCACGGCCAGTTAAAGGGGTAAATGTACAGCCAGAGCACCAGGCCAGCGAAGAGGCCGGCGAAGGCCAGCAGTGACACCAGGATGAGGGCCCGCTTGCGGTACTTGTCGCTGGTGCCGAAGGTGATGTAGGGCAGGAAGGCAAAGGCCAGCAGCAGGCCGCTGAGGAAGCCGAAGATGTGGGCGATGTTGTCGATCCAGGGCAGGAGGCCGCAGGCGAACAGGAAGAGCACGATGCCCGAGAGGTTGAGGAAGGCCTTCCAGGGCCGCTCCAGCAGCGGCCAGCTCTGGAAGAGCTCCACGAAGAGGCAGGCGAGGAGGCCAAACTGTGAACCGGCCGGTCCCACCTGGGGCGGGGCAGGGGAGACGCGGCTTCAGGCAAGGGTGGGCGGCCTGGGCCGGGCCGGTGCCCTGGGTCATCCCATCGATCAGTTCCTCCCCGGCAGACGCTGGGGACCCCTGAGGCTGAGGGGTGGGGGTCGGTTGGAGCTGCCAGACCGAAGCTGGGCCCGCTCTGTCCATTCCTTCAGCAAACACCGAGTACCTACTGTGTACACCCCTGGTGTGGGTCACAGCAATAAGACAGACAGACAAATTCCAGGCCACACACGGTGGCGAGAGGACGGACACTGAGCAAGCTGGATTAGTCAGGTGGAACTGATCGAAGGCTGCTGACAGCACACGTGGGCCATTTCCTACCCCTCGACCTACAAATACCTGGCATACTGCCAGGCAGTGGGCATGGTTATGAAGATAAATGAGGCAGTGGAGGGACAGGGTGACTCAGGAGCATCACTGTTCCCTCTCGCTGGGATTAAGGGACCAGCCAGTAAGCCCCCAGCTTAGCCGTCCATCTGCCACGGAGCCCAGCACAGGAGGGGCCCCATGGCCCTCAGGCAGGTCCAGGTGGGTGGAACAGGAGCAGGACTGGCCCCCTATGTGACGAAAGGCTTCAGACTCAAGAGGGTCCCGCCCCCCATGTCCTTACCTCCGCCCGGTACGGGAGGAAGATGGCGCTGGCGAGGTTGCCCGTGATGCCGCTGAGGATGAAGATGATGGCGATACGGTGCCAGCCGGCCAGCTTTTCCAGGTCCCTCAGGATGGTCATTTGAAAGACCACAGACACGAGGCAGTGCACCACGCTGGGGAAGGGACACACCAGGCGCGGCCTTCAGTCAGGTCCTTCAGGAGCAGCAGGCTTCCGCGGGTTGGGCCGGCCATGCCCAGGCCCAGGAACCCTTCCCCAGGGGTCTGGCTGGGTGGCCATAACAGGGGCTGAAGGTGATGTAGGGCAGGAAGGCAAGTGAGGAGCCTCTTACCCGGCATGTAAGAAGAGAGACAGCCAGAGCCTATAGAACTGATCTGGGACCTCTGGGTTGAGGAAGGGCAGCAGCCCACACACCTTGTCCAAGCAGTGCACCTGGGGGTGGGCGGATGGTGCTCAGCGCCCCAGAAGCCTGGGAGGGAGTGTGTGAGCCCCGGCCCCGGCATCCTCTCCTCCACCACCCCAGGCCTCGCCTCACCTGGGAGCAGAGCGTCGCTTCCTCGTGGAAATAGCCGTGCATGAACTCACAGTATTCCCGGGTGGTGATCTCACAGCTGGGTCGACAGTGAGGCAAGAGGGGGCATCAGGGCCCGGAATAACCACTGCCCACCTCGCCCAGAGCCCAGAACCCGGCTACAGCAGGCATCGCTGGCAGGAAGGGGGATGCCCCTTACAGGGCCTTCGACTCTGGAGCAAGCTCCCTTCCTCCAGCTCACACCATGGGTGGCCCCAGAGCAGGGGAGGGAAGGACAGTTATCGGAGGGCATTGACCCGGCAGCTGTGGGTGGTGACGGTGGAGGAGCAGAGGGCCCACAGGAAACTGCAGCTCGGGGGGCGGCGGGACGGGCCAAGGACAGGCCCAGGTGGCTCACCTGCCCTTGGTGCCAATGCAGCAGGGGCGGCCCTTGATCTTGCAGTCTATGTGCAGGAAGCCCGTGCGGTTGCTCCTGGCCTGCTCTGTGCAGATCTGCTGGGAGGGGCACCGGCAGGGGAGTGGGGCTGTGCAGTGGGCAGGTCTCCTGTCCCTGACCTTCCCAGACACGCCTGCCAGGGACACTCACCGGCCACTTGGTGATGTCATTGGGCCAGATGTGGGCACCGCTGGAGGCCGGCTCCTCACAGGTCCTGGAGACAGACATCAGACTGGGCTGTGGCACCCCCAGCCTGCCATGTCTACCCAGCCATGTCCCTGTGGGTGGCTCCGACGGCCTGACCCCGAGACCCAGCAGAGGCTCCAGGCCCTACCTGGGGTCCTGGTGACAGACAGCCCCCGATGTCCGCTTCTGGCCCAGATCAGACTTGTCCATGGGGGGCCCAGTGTCATCCTGCCACTTGACAAAAGTGGCCAAAGTCTCCTGGAGGGCAGAAGAGGGCTGGTCGGTCACGCCGGGGCCAGGTCACCCCCACTGGAGTGGGCAAGGATGGAGGCTTTTCCCATCTTCCCAGGGCTCAGTCTCATCTAGGGGGCTCTGGGGAAGGGTGGGGTGGGGAGGCGGGAATGTGGTCACTGCCTTTGAAGGGCCCATCCCCCAGGCCAGGGCAAGTGGGGCTGGCCCGGGACCAGGGTCCAGCAGGGGTGGGAGGGAGGGCCTGCCCCCACCGAGCAGTCCTTCCGTTGGGTCTGGATGCAGCCTGAGTGGTCGTTCTGGACACAGCAGCCTGAGTCCCGCTCCAGGTCTCGCTCCCGCTGCACCAACTGCTCGATCTGCCTGTCCTTCCGGATGCAGGGCGAGAACTTGGCCCCCAGGTGGATCAGGTCAATCTGGTGGAGGGGAGCGGAAGGGAGCAGAGGAGAAGGGAGGGGAGGGGAGGGGAAGCGAGGGGAGGGGAGAGGAGGGGAGGGGAGGGGAAGGAGAGAGTGAGTTTGGGCCGCAGACCTGGGCGGGGTCCATCACTCCACCTCTGATTTGTGGAGTCTTCCCCTGATGAGGGGCCTGCAGGTGGGTGAGCAGCCCACCTGCCCAGCCGGGGGTGACAGGGCACAGGGGCTCCTGGCTCAGATGATGTCCCCGAGCCTGGACCCTCACCGAGCTGGGGCCAACCCAGAAGTTCTCCTGCTGGATGTACTTCACGCTCTCGTACACACCTTTGTTCCGCAGAACCTGTCACAGAGCACAGAGGTAGCAGGGAGGGCATCAGCACAGCGTGGACCCTGGGCGTGGGGGGCTGGGGCAGCCGTCCCCAGCGCAGAGCCTCCAGGAAGGGGCCGGATAGTTGTGGTGGGAGGGATTAGGTATCCATGACACTGAGGCCTCCTGGGGGAGGCTGGGACTCCCAGCGTGGAGCCCGACTCACCAGCTGGGTGGTGATGTGCTGGGCAAAGCCCACGGGTGCGATGCCATAGGTGCAAATCACCAGCAGCGTGATGATGACATGGACGAAGGTCAGCCAGTAGGTGAAGTAGGGCCTGTGCAGAGAGGCCTTGGGTCAGCCGAGCCGAGCTCCTATGCCAATCTCCAGTCCCGGCCACGGGGCCACCCCGGCGCAGTCTCCTGGCTCTGCCCTGTCAGCTCATCTCAAACCACAGCAACTTGGAAGATGCACCTCCAAGCATCTCTCTCCTGGCTTAAAACCCTCTGACAGCTGGGCGTGGTGGCTCAAGCCTGTAATCCCAGCACTTTGGGAGGCCAAGGCGGGTGGATCACAAGGTCAAGAGATCGAGACCATCCTGGTCTACGTGGTGAAACCCCGTCTCTACTAAAAAAAAATGCAAAACATTCGCTGGGTATGGTGGCGCGTGCCTGTAATCCCAGCTACCTGGGAGGCTGAGGCAGGAGAATTGCCTGAACCCGGGAGGTGGAGGTTGCGGTGAGCCAAGATCGCGCCATTGCACTCCAGCCTGGGTAACAAGAGTGAAACTCTGTCTCAAAAAAAAAAAAAAACACCCTCTGACAGCTTTCCACTGCGCTTGGGACAAATTCCAGAATCACCTCCTCTTGCTGGCTGCAAAGCCTCACCTGCCCGACCACCTCTCTGGCCTCTGCCTGCATTTCCTCCAATACTTTGCTCTATGCAGCCCCAGGGCTTTTGCACATGACACTACTGTTTGTCCTGACCACACCCCTCCCCGGCAGCTGTTCACTCTCTCTCAGTCCTCCTCTGGGACTCCCACCACACCTATCTTTTCCTTTTTTTTTTTAGACAAAGTCCCACTCTGTCACCCAGGCTGGAGTACAGTGGTGCAATCTTGGCTCCCTGCAACCTCTGCCCCCAGGTTTAAGCCATTCTCCCTCCTGCCTCAGCCTCCTGAGTAGCTGGGATTACAGGTGCCCACCATACCTGGCTAATCTTTTTTTTTTTTTTTGTATTTTTAGTAGAAATGGGGTTTTACTGTGTTGGCCAGGCTGCACTTGAACTTCTGACCTCAGGTGATCCGCCCACTTTGGCCTCCCAAAGCGCTGGGATTGCAGGTGTGAGCCACACCGCACCTGGCCGTTGCTTGTTATTTTCTAATTTGGGCCCAGTGTTTATTGGGCTGCTGCAAATCAGGAGCCCTGTTCTTCTTCCCGAAGGGTTCTGCATGGCCTCCCCCAGGCTCCCCTCACTCCCAGCCCATTTGTTTTTAGAGATGGAGTTTTGCTCTCATTGCCCAGGCTGGAGTGCAATAGCGTGATCTCGGCTCACTGTAACCTCCACCTCCCAGGTTCAAGCGAATTTCCTGCCTCAGCGTCCTGAGTAGCTGGGATTATAGGCATGTGCCACCATGCCCTGCTAATTGTGTATTTTTAGTGGAGATGGGATTTCTCCATGTTGGTCAGGCTGGTCTCCAACTCCCGACCTCAAGTGATCTGCCCAGCTTGGCCTCCCAAAGCGCTGGGATCCCAGGTGGGAGCCACTGCGCCCCGCCCCCAGCTTCTTTTTTTAAAATAGAGGTAGGATCTCACTATGTTGCCCAGGCTGGTCTGAAACTCCTGGGCTCAAGTAATCCTCCTACCTTAGCCTCCCAAAGTGCTATAATTACAAGCGTGAGTCCTGGCCCCAGCTTCTAACTGGCCTCTGACCCAGCCTGCCCTCCCAGCTCCACCTCCAGAGGCTCCATTTCAGGGCCGGTAGGCAGTGACATTCAATGAACATTTATTGACTGGCTGCTATCTGGGAGCAAGGCTGAGGATGCAGGCTCAGAAAGCATGGGGTGGAGGAGAGGCAGCAAGCACTCAGGCCCTTCCCAGGTCACGTGCACAGCCCTTGGGACAGGGTGCACCTTCGAGGGTGTCACTACACTCCTGACCCGCAGGAGATGCTCATGAAAGGTTCACGGAATGAGTCAGGGGGCACTTCAGGAGGGCCCAGAGGAATCTGGAAGCTTCCAGGCCCTCCTGGAGGCTCCAGGGCGGCGCCTCACCGGTGGCTGTCGAAGCTCTCCAGCTGCCGCTGCACGGTGCTGCTGATGCTGCGGCGGTAGCTACGGTTCAGCCAGTTGCCCACCACGCCCAGGCCGTAGTGCCGCTTCTTCCGATCAAAGGCAAAGTGCTTCACCTTGGAGGCGATGCGCTTGCCGCGCTGGGGCCCGGGGACTGGGGCTCGGCCACACTCCTTCCTGGTGGGGATGGTGGCTTTCAGCCTGATGTCCCCCCCCCCAACCCCGAAATACTCCCAGACCCCACCAGGGTGATCAGAAAGGGCTTAGTGGCCAGGGTGAGGTCTGGGGATGTCCCCAGGCTGGTGGCTGGCCTAGAGGAGGGACTGCCCCAGCACTCACAGAGGGATTTGCACCCCATCGGGGGAGACAGGGGAGGCTGAGTGTGGGATCCCCCGGAAGTAGCTGGCAGAGAGTGGGGGGGACTCAAAGACATCGTCAGGCATGGAGCTCATTTCTTCCTGGGGTGGAGGACAAGGAAACACAGTGTAAGGAGTCTGTCCCAAACACTGCACCCCGGCACCTCAATTCAAGGGCAGGACACGGCTGGACAGACAGGCTCTTCACGATGAAGCGGGAAGCCACATGCCTGTCAGCCCCAGTGGTGACTTTCCCAGGTGGCACTGTGCCCCACCCCAGATCCTCACTCTACCCAACAAAGATGGGGGCCCAGGCAGCTCCACACAGGACCATGCCACATTCCACCAGTGGGCCTCTGGCCTTCTCACCCAGCTCCCAGGCCACCTCATCCCTCCCATCCCTGAGGGCCCACACCCCATGCTTGCCTTACTAAAAAACGAGGAGTCAAATGTGTCTGCCCCATCAACCACATCCTCCTCCAGGAAGCTCGGGAAGGCAAAGCTGCGCTTGATGACCCGGCACCGCTGTCCGGTGGCATCCAGCACCGAGCGCCCCTGTGCACAGACAGAGGCACAGGCATCAGGACCAGGGCCTGGCCATCCACCGAAGGAATTATCAAGCCCACCTGCCTGCAGGCAGCACCTTGGGTGGAGGGATCCTGCCCAAAGCATGGAGGTTCTGCAAGCTGAGTGGGCAGGAGGAGCTCCTGAGACTGGAAGGTCAGGACATGGGGCACCAGCTTCCGTTGGCACACCACTCTTGGCACAGCTTGGAGTGACATTCCCCTGGTCCTGCTGCCCCTCTGGCCTGGGCTGCTGGTATCCTAACACTCAAAGCAACCCACACGCTGTACCCTTACTCCAGAGGCTCGGGCCGTGTCTCCATCCTGTTTCTTGGCACAGAATACCAGGCCCCTGCCCACCTTTCTGATCCCATCTCCTGCCACTGCTGGCGTAACTGCCTGCTGCTCCCTCAAGGCACCGCACTTCCTCCGGCCTCCTGGCCCTTGCATAGGCCATTCCCTCTGCTGAGAATGCTGTTCCCTTCCTTCCCTAGTGAACGTCTCCTTGTTTTTCTGTGCTTAACTCGATGTCTTCCCTGATACCAGCTGCTGTCCTAAACTGACCACCCTGAATGACGACCCTCACCCTGGGCTGGGAGCTCAGCCAGCATGGTGATGGCTCTGCATGCTGTGCCCAGCACATAACAGGGACTGGGCAAACCCGGGTGGGTGAGGAGCGAGTGCACGTCTCACTTTCCACTGCCCCAGCTTAACAGTCAGTGCAGAGACCAGGTTCCCAAACTAGGCAGGCGCCGGGGGGTCATAGAGACTGAAGACAGAAGGATGGAAGCCGGGGTGCTGTGCTTCGGGGTACCTCTTTGCCCAGGGATCCCAGCACACCCACTGTCCTTGGCACTGAAGGCAGATGCCCGGGTGAGCTTTAGGAGATGCTCCTATGAGGAGTGGAAGGGAGGGGCAAGGGAGGGAGGCTGGGCAGAGGTGGGGGGAGACGGGGGCCCTGCAGGAGGGGGCTCTGTACCTTGAAGAGGGCAGCGGCAGCTTGGAAGCTCATGTGGGCCACAGACATCCTCTTGCGGCGTGGCAGGTGGGAGTAGCCAGAGCGGACGCTGGTGAACGAGGTGAGGGACAGGACTCCAGGGGTCAACGGCGGGTGCGGGGCGTGGGGCCTGTCCACCTCCTCCGGGTGGCGGAAGGCCCGGCCCCGGGCCAGTGGATCCACAATCTGGAAGGGAGGGGGCAGTGAGCAGAGCCACTGGGGTCCCCACCCCTGCCCCCTTTCCCTGTGGATCCCACCTTGGGCAGCTTGCAGGGCTTTGGGGACTCGGTGCCCTGGAAGGATGGCACCTCCTGGCTGGGGAGCTCCAGGTCCCGCTGGCACGAGGCCTTCAGGCGGCCGTAGCGCACGCTGCAGTGGTGCAGGCTGCGACGCTGCCACTGCTGCCGCTGCCCCTCCCAGTCGCCGCTGACTCCAAACCACTGGGCTGCGCCCCTGCGGGAGCCGACAAAGAACAGGTGGGCATAAGCTTGTCTGCGCCTGTGCACCTGAATGTGTGGAAGCAGTGATGGCACGTGTGTGCCCACGTGCCTGCAGGGGGTTGGGTGGCGGATCCACCTGCGAGGCCCCTGGCTGGAGCCCAGTGACCAGATGAGCAGAAGCAGGGGAGGACTAGAGCGTGAGGAGCCAGACTAGGGCCTCAGGCACCCGCACGCTGATCCAGCCAGCTCCTTGAACCCCCTCAGCCTCTACATTGTGACCTTCCGCAAGGCACACACCCTCCTCCCCATCTCTACCATCACATTAGGCTTCAGGGAGACACCGCTCTTTAACGCCTGCCTACTCCTTCCAGAGAGGGGACGCAGGGACCAGGCCCAGTAATGTCCAGGCACCAAGAATCCACAGGTTGCTGGGTGGGAGGTGCTGGGCTTGGGTGTGGGGACTCACTTGCGGATGCTCTGGGACAGCGAGGCCTGGCGGCGGAAGCCAGGGCGCTTCTCTGAGCTCTCCTGCCATCGGGCCCGTGGCTCCTGGAGGCTGACGCTCTTCAAGAAGGCTGGGTACTTGGGCCTCTTGGGGAAGAAGGAGGGAGGGCAGGCAGTGACGTGTGCGGCCCAGGTCCGAGGTTGGCTCTTCTTTAGCCTCCCATTCTGAAAACCCTGAGAACAAACCTCAACCCCAATCTGCTTTCGTTGTGAATATATGTTTATGTATATATGCTTTCTTGAGACAGAGTCTTGTTCTATCGCCCAGGCTGGAGTGCAGTGGGACAATCTCGGCTCACTGAAACCTCCACCTCCCGGGTTCAAGTGATTCTCATGCCTCAGCCTCCCAAGTAGCTGGGATTACAGACACCCGTCACCACACTTGGCTAATTTTTATATTTTCAGTAGAGATGGGGTTTTACCATGTTGGCCAGGCTGGTCTCGAACTCCTGACCGCAAGTGAAGCGCCCGCCTTGGCCTCCCAAAGTGCTGGGATTACCAGTGTGAGCCATCTTGCCTGGCCTACATATATACTTTTTGAGACAGAGTCTTGCTCTGTTGCCCAGGTTGGAGGGCAGTGGCACCATCATAGCTCACTGGAGCCTCAACCTCCCAGGCTTAAGCAAGCCTTCTACCTCCGTGTCCTAGCTAGCTGGGATTACAGGCGTGTGCTGCCACATCCAGCTCATTTTTTTTTTTTTTTAAGTATTTTCCAGAGACAGGGTCTTATTATGTTGTCTAGGCTGGTCTTGAACTCTTGGGCTCAAGTGATCTGCCTGCCTCCCAAAGTGATGAGATTATAGGCATGAAGCCACCCCATCCAGCCTCATTCTGAATTTAAAATCGCCATTGTGTAGCGTTTCTGCGTCAAGCCCAGCGTGTTTCCTTCACTCATCACCCAGTCCCTCCCCTCCACACCATGACGCTCCTGCCTGCTGCTGCGTCCTCTGCAGAGCTCTGGGCTGAGCGGGTGGTATTCACATCGCTTCCCTTTATACTCCAGGCTGTGCAGGAAGCCCACGCTGCTACCAGCCTGTTTCAATGAGCTCTTTATGGAGCAATAGCCCAGACTGTCGGAAACACTGATTCATTTTCGCCCTCTTCCAAAGGAACCTGGTACTGCCTAGGCAGGCTGCTGCTGCCAGGGAGACACTGTCCCTGCTCGCCCGTGTCAAAGACAGCCCCCAGCCCTCAGAAGAGAGAGCAAGAGTCCAGCAAGCCTTTCTTGGGGCTGGCACTTCCTATCCGCCTGCGACCATGATGAGAGTGAGCCCGGTTCCCAGCCTGACTCCCTGTGATTATTTTGGGCCCAGGAAGGAGTGGGCGAGGCCGAGTCAAGGGCTGCACAGGCAGCAGCTGTGGCTCAGGAAGAGTCCTCTAGGAAGTGAAACTGTCCAGAAGGTGTCATGTGGGCACATCTGTCACCTGTTGCAGGACAGTGAGCCCCCAGACCGGCCCCCTTACCTCAGGCAGCATGCTGTCCTGCTCGCCAGGGGCCTGGGTCTCTTTCTCAGGGGGTGGGATGGTGATGGAGAGGTTGGGTGGCTTCCGGCTCTGCAGGCGGCTGCTGGACACAGAAGACACGCTCCCGCCATTCTTGTCAGCAGAGGCCATGGTGGGCAGGAGGCGGGAGGGCTGGAGTGGAGACCGGGAGAGCGGCGGTGGGTGGTGGAAGGGGTGGCGGGGTATCAGGATCCTGATGCCAAGGTACCCCGAGAACTGACCGACCTGCCTAAAGTTGTTTCAGACATCTCTGGGGACTAAACCCAGCCTGAAAATCCCAGCACTTTGGGAGGCCGAGGCAGGCAGATCACCTGAGGTCAGGAGTTTGAGACCAGCCTGGCCAACATGGCGAAACCCTGACTCTACTAAAAATACAAAAATTAGCCAGGCGTGGTGGTGCATACCTGTAATCCCAGCTACTCGGGAGGCTGAGGCAGGAGAATTGCTTGAACAGGGAGGAGTGAGCCAAGCCAGCACCATTGCACTCCAGCCTGGGGTGACAGAGCAAGGCTCCATCTCAAAAAAAAAAAAAAAAAAAAAAGAGCGTGAAGATGAAGAATGTACAGCTGGAGTGCTCTTGACTGTCTCATCAGGGGTAGGCCGGGGGCATAGGGCGGCTTCTTGTAGATGATGGGTCCTGCTTTTGTCTCTGGACAGGGGGGTTGAGGGAGAACAAGAAGGCTCCAGGACAACCTGGTGCTCCCAACAAGCTTGGCTGGGCAGGTTCGTGCTACGCTCCCAGGGCCAGCTGTGCAGGAAGCAGGTGGCTTTCGGAGGAGGGCTCCTGAGCTGTGCAGCAGGAAGTGGCAGCTCAGCCAAATGCCCAGAGAGATGAGAAACCTACTATGCTGGTTCCTGTCCCCCAAGCCCACCCGGTTCATTTTCCTTTTTCTGTAGAGGCGGGGTTTCTCCATGTTAGCCAGCCTGGTCTGGAACTCTTGGGCTCAAGACATCTGCCTGCCTCAGCCTCCCAAGCAGCGTGCACCTGTAGTCCCAGTTACTTGGGAGGCTGAGTCAGGAGCAGAACTTGGACTCGGGAGACAGAGGTTGCAGCGAGCCAAGATTGAGCCACTGCACTCCACCCTGGGTGACAGAGTAATAATCTGTCTCAAAAACAAAACAAAACGAGAGGCCGGGTGCGGTGGCTCAAGCCTGTAATCCCAGCACTTTGGGAGGCTGAGACGGGTGGATCATGAGGTCAAGAGCTCGAGACCATCCTGGTCAACATGGTGAAACCCCGTCTCTACTAAAAATACAAAAAATTAGCTGGGCATGGTGGTGCGTGCCTGTAATCCCAGCTACTCAGGAGGCTGAGGCAGGAGAATTGCCTGAACCCAGGAGGCGGAGGTTGCGGTGAGCCGAGATCGCGCCATTGCACTCCAGCCTGGGTAACAAGAGTGAAACTCCGTCTCAAAACAAAAAAAAAACAAAAAACAAACAAACAAACAAAAAAAGAAACAAAAAAAAAACTAACCAAAAACCAAAACAAAAAAACAAAAAACAAAATTAGCCAGATATGGTGGCACATGCCTATAATCCCAGCTACTTGGGAGGCTGAGGCATGAGAATTTCTTGAACTCAGGAGGTAGAGGTTGCAGAGAGCCAGGATCATGCCATTGTACTCCAGCCTTGGCGAGAGTGAGACTCTGTCTCAAAAAAAAAAAAAAAAAGGTAACTAAAACTGTCACTTGTCTGGCACTTTTCCCCCCATAGTGAGAATATTATTTAACAATATAAATGACATATACTCATTGCAAAAAAAAAAAAAAATCACACAGGCAGGTGCAGTGGCTCACGCTTATAATCCCAGCACTTTGGAAGGCGTAGGTGGGTGGATCGCTTGAAGCCAGGAGTTCGAGACTAGCCTGGCCAAAATAATGAGGAAGCACCATCTCTATTAAAATACAGAAATTAGGCAAGCATAGTGGCTCATACCTGTAGTCCTAGCCACTCGGGAGACTGAGGCAGGAGAACAGTATCACTCGAACCTGTGAGGCAGAGGTTGCTGTGAGCCAAGATCACACCACTGCACTCCAGCCTGGGCAACAAAGTGAGACTCTGTCTCAAAGAAAAAAAAAATTCAGACTTCTTTTTTTTTTTTTTTTGACACGGAGTTTCGCCCTTGTTACCCAGGCTGGAGTGCAATGGCGCGATCTCGGCTCACCGCAACCTCCGCCTCCTGGGCTCAGGCAATTCTCCTGCCTCAGCCTCCTGAGTAGCTGGGATTACAGGCACACGCCACCATGCCCAGCTAATTTTTTGCGCTTTTAGTAGAGACGGGGTTTCACCATGTTGACCAGGATGGTTTCGATCTCTCGACCTCGTGATCCACCCGCCTCGGCCTCCCAAGGTGCTGGGATTACAGGCTTGAGCCACCGCGCCCGGCAAAATTCAGACTTCTATAAAGTAGAACGTGAGCCGTTGACCCTCCTTTCCCCCTCCATCCTCTGGAAGGCCTCTCTGGGCCTGGAAATACATACTTCAAAATTCTACACACACTTATGTCATTTTTTATTTTGAGACAGGGTCTTGCTCTGTTGCCCAGGTTGGAGTGCAGTAGCATAATCTTGGCTCAGTGTACGCTCCACCTCCCAGGTTAAAGCAATTCTCCTGCCTCAGCCTCCCAAGTAGCTGGGGTTATAGGCGTGAGCCACTGTGTCTGGCCCACACTCTTTTATCTGCAGCGTGGACATCTCTCCCTGTCAACACATACAGACAGACCCACATTTTTTCTTGTTTCGAGATGGGGTCTCACTCTGTCACCCAGGTTGGAGTGCAGTGGCACCATCTTGGGTCACTGCAACTTCTGCCATCCACAGTGCTGGGACTACAGGCAGAGGCCACTGTACTTTGGATAGCAAAACTTCTTTGATGAATGCAAATATATATTTTGACATGGAGTTTCACTCTTGTTGCCCAGGTTGGACTGCAGTGGTGCAATCTCGGCTTACTGTAACCTTCTCCTCCTGGGTTTAAGTGATTCTCCTGCCTCAGCCTCCTGAGTAGCTGGGATTACAGGCACAAGCCACCACATCCAGCTAATTTTTGGTAGAGAGAGGATTTCACCATGTTGGCCAGGCTGGTCTCGAACTCCTGACCTCAGGTAATTTACCTGCCTCGGCCTCCCAAAGTGCTGGGATTACAGATGTGAGCCACTGGGCCTGGCCGATGGATACAAAGATTTCATAGAATGGAAGGCACCAAGATTTACTTAAGTCCCAATTGCTGGCTGTTTAGGATGTTTCCAGAATTGGAGACATGGGTCTGATGTTGAAACTGACACCCTTGCATATGCCACATGTGCCGTTTAAGTGTATCACCAGACCATATTCTGGAAGCAGAATGTCTGGGTTGAAGGGAAGTCCATCCCGAATTTCAGTGGGTCTTGCCCAATACCGCATCTGGGGATTTCCTGTGCTTGTGCCGCTGGTCTCCAATTCCCCTCTGACTCCCCCGGAATTAACACCCTCTGGCTGTTTCACTCTCTTCGTTTCATCTCTTGCTCTGGCCCATGACCGTCTTCTTGCTAAAACCCCCAGCTGTCTCCTCTCTCTCACATCCCAAGGTTCCTGGGCAAGTTTTGTTTTTCCTCTCCTTGTTCAAAACCAGGGACTCCATACCCACCTCCCTGGGAGCCCTTCGGCCAAGGGTGCGTGTGGGCCGAAGCGTGGGATACATGGGTGGGCGAGACAGCAGCCGTGTGTATTCTGAACCTGTCTTCCTCCCTCCACCTCGACCTCACCTCTGCCATCTCCTCTCACCTGGAGGCCCACTCCACTCTCTCAATTCCTCTACCTGCTGCCTCGAGCCCTCTGACACTGATCATTCTCCGCACCACAGCTGGGACAAGCGACCTCCTGAAAGCACAGATCACATCTGTCAGTCCCTGCTCAACACTCTCCCAGGATTTCCTGTTCTCACCCAAAGTCCAAACATCTCACTGGGACTTCCGGGCCCTCTCTTCACCTCTTCCCGTGCCCTTGCGTACCCCTGACCCAGCCTTTCTGGGCCTCTCATTGTCTCAGACTTGCCAAGCTCTGCTGGGAGTGGGGTTTGAGATCGAAAGCGCTGGAGCTGGTGGCACATTCTGGGCCCACAGTCTTGCATTTACTGTCGGGTGAGTCACTTGGGCGCCATCACCCAAGTCCTTACCCATACAAGGGGGAGAGTCACAGTTCCTCCCCAGGGAAGCATCTGCAGCACCAAATGAGCAAATGACATTGCCGGGCGTGGTGGCTCCTGCCTGTAATCTCAGCATTTTGGGAGGCTGAGGCAGGTGGACCACCTGAGGCCAGGAGTTCAAGACCAGCCTGGCCAACATAGTGAAACCCTGTCTCTATTAAAAATACAAAAATTAGCTGGGCATGGTGGTGGGCACCTGTAGTTCCAGCTACTCAGGAGGCTGAGGCAGGAATCGCTTGAACCCGGGACGGGGAGGTTGCAGTGAGTCGAGACTGCTCCATTGCACTCCAGCCTGGGCGACAGAGTGAGACTCAGTCTCAAAAATAAATAAGTGAGTGGATGGCTTCCCACAGTGAAGCACTTGGACAGGAAGTGCTCAGTAGCACGGCTCCCCAGAACCTGAAAAAGGAAACAGCAGCAGCGTCCGTCAGCAGATAAAGACACGAATATAAAATGTGGTCAAGTCACACAAGGAAGCATCCTTCAGCCACAAAAGGAAGGAAGTCCTGACACAGCTACAGCATGGACGAGCCTTGAGAATGCTGTGTCCAGTGAGAGGAGCCAGTCACGGAAGGCTACCCACTGCCTGAGTCCATGCATATGAAGGCCCAGAATAGGGACATCTACAGACAGAAGCAGGCTAGTGGTTGCTTAGGACTGGATAAGTGGGGACTGGGCAGGGAGGAGGTGACAGCTAAAGGGTGCACGCTTTCTTTTTCTTTTGAGGTGGAGTCTCGCTCTGTCGTCCAGGCTGGAATGCAGTGGTGCGATCTCCGCTCACGGCAACCTCCGCCTCCCGGGTTTAACCAATTCTCCGGCCTCAGCCTCCCAAATAACTGGGACTACAGGTATATGCCACCATGCCCGGCTAATTTTTTATACTTTTAGTAGAGATAGGGTTTCACTATGTCAGCCAGGATGGTCTCGATCTCCTGACCTCATGATCCACCTGCCTCAACCTCCCAAAGCGCTGGGATTATAGGCGTGAGCCACCGTGCCTGGCCTGGGTACAGGCTTTCTTTAGGATGTAATGAAAGCAATCTAAAACTGACTCTGGTGATGGTGGCACAACTCTGTGAATATACATACACACATATATATATATATATATATATATACATAAAAATTTTTTTTTTTTTGAGACAGAGTCTCACTCTGTAGCCCAGGCTGGAGTCTCACTCTGTAGCCCAGGCCGGAGTGCAGTGTCAAAATCTTGGCTCACTGCAACCTCCGCCTCCCAGGTTCAAGTGATTCTTCTGCCTCAGCCTCCCGAGTAGCTGAGACTACAGGTGTGTGCAACCACGCCCAGCTAATTTTTGTATTTTTAGTAGAGACAGGGTTTCACCATATTGGCCAGTCTGGTCTCGAAATCCTGAACTCGTGATCTGTCCACATCGGCCTCCCAAAGTGTTGGCAATACAGGCATGAGCCACTGTGCCCAGCCTTTTTCTTTCTGTCTTTTTTGAGATAGAGTCTTGCTCTGTCACCCAGGCTGGAGGGCAGTGGTGCGATTTTGGCTCACTGCAACCTCTACCTCCTGGGTTCAAGTGGTTCTCCTGTCTCAGGCTCCTGAGTAGCTGGGATTACAGGCACAAACCACCACACCTAACTACTTTTTGTATTTTTAGTAGAGATGGAGTTTCACCACGTTGACCAGGCTGGTCTCAAAGTCCTGATCTGAAGTGATCCACTCGCCTCAGCCTCCCAAAGTGCTGAGATTACAGGTGTGAGCCTCTGCACCCACCCACTGTGAATATATTAAAACCACTGAAGGTTGGGAGTGATGGTTCACCACTGTAATCTCAGCAATTTGAGACTGAGGTGAAAGGATTTCTTGAGCCCAGGAGCTCAAGTCCAGCCTGGGTAACATACAAAAAATTTAAAAATTAGCCAGGTGTGGTGGTGTGTCTATAGTCCCAGCTACTCAGGAAGCTGAAGCAGGAGGAGGTCAAGGCTGCAGTGAGCCACAACTGTGCCATTGCACTCCAGCCTGGTGACAGAGTGAGACCCTATCTCAAACAAATAAACAAATAAATAAAAACACTGATGGTACACTTTAAATGGGTGAATCGCTGGTATGTGAATTCTCTCTCAATGAAGCAGGAGCTTCATAACGCTGGGCCTCTGCCTGAGCCAGTCACTCTGTCCCAGACCGTCACCCAGCGGAGAGGCCGGCTCTTCTCAGCCTCCCGGTTGCAGTTTGAGTGCCCCCTTACCAGAGGAGCCCTCCTGCCCCATCTCGAGCAGTGCCGGCTCCACCTCCCTCCCTGCCCCTTTTTTATTTTTTGAGACAGAATCTCACTGTCATCGCCCAGGCTGGAGGGCAGTGGCATGATCTCGGCTCACTGCAACCTCCGCCTCCCAGGTACAAGCGATTCTCCTGCCTCAGCCTCCCAAGTAGCTGAGACTACAGGCACCCACACTGCATCCCACTAAATATTTTTGTATTTTTAGTAGAGATGGGGTTTTGCCAAGTTGGCCAGGCCAGTCTCAAACTCCTGACCTCAGGTGATCCACCCACCTTGGCCTCCCAAAGTGCTAGCAGTACAGGCATGAGCCACCGCACCCAGCCTTTCCCTGCCTTTATCCCTCCCTGTTGCTCCCTTCATTCACTATCCGCCACTGTTCAGACACAGAGTGCGGGCCCCTCGGGCACATCAGCACGTGGTGCACCTGGGCGCAGCAGCCAGTGCCTGGGTCCAGCTGCCCCGCTTCCTACCTTCAAGTCTGGGTTTGCCTGTGGCTTCTTCTTGGGTCTTGCTGTGAAAGGCTTTAGAGCATGTTCTTGTCCTCTCCTCGTTCTGTACAGATACTCTGCGGTGAAGCCTCAGTCTGTGGAAGGGTGGAGAGATAGACAGATGGCTGGAGGGATGGAGAGAAGGCTCCAGGCCATGCAGTGCACAGTTAGGGACTCGATCCTGCCCAGCCTCGGGAGGGCCTCCGGCACCTCAGGGTCCCCTCAAAGGAGGGTCTGGCAGGTCTGCTTAAAAACAAACAGGGATGCCCCTGGGTTTCGTGCTTTAAAATGGTTGATTTTATGTTGTGTGGCTTTTACTTCAATAAATTATCAATCAAAACTACAAAACACTTCCAGATTGTTTGAACTTTGCCTAAGTATCAGAAGGCAGCTAGCAATTCCTGGACTTTTAAAGTTAAATATATGAGGTTTTTTGTTTTTTTTTTTCCGAGATGGAGTCTTGCTCTGTCACCCAGGCTTGAGTGTAGTGGCACGTTCTCAGCTTACTGCATCCTCCACCTCCTGGGTTCATGCGATTCTCCTGCCTCAGCCTCCTGAGTAGCTGGGATTACAGGCATGCACCACCACGCCTGGCTAATTTTTGTATTCTTAATAGAGACAAAGTTTCACCATGTTGGCCAGGCAGGTCTCAAACTCTTGACCTCATGATCTGCCCACCTTGGCCTCCCAAAGTGCTGAGATTACAGGCATGAGCCACCGTGTCTGGCCCCAAAATATGTGGTTTTGTTTTAAAGCAGGAAACCCAGGGGCATTCCTACTTGTTTTCAAGCAGACCTGCCCAGGCCCTCCTTTGAGGGGAACCCTGAGGTGCCGGAGGCCCTCCCGAGGATGGCCAGGATTAAGTCCCTAACTGTGCCGGGCCTCACTTGGCCCTTTACATGCATTACCCTTTGAAACACCTTCCAGGGAGACATTAGCGTCTCTTCCATTCTACAGATGGTGAATGGAGGCTCAGAGAGGTTCAGTAACTTGGCCAAGCTCACACAGCCAGGAAGCAGTGCAGCTAGGACTCCCAATGTCCAGCTCCAGGGCCTGGGGGCTCCTAGGGGATGGGCTCCCTCCTGCCCTGAGACTGGGGCTAGAAGACCCCCTCTCAGGGAGCCAGAGAGGGAGTTTGGTCCAGCATTCCAGCGTTTTCCAAACCATGCTCCTCAGAGGCCTGGGGCTCCCCAGAGGTGCCTAAGGGGCTGCTATGGGGCAAACCAGAGGCTGGGGAGCAGCCCAGGCCCCCCAGTGATTCCATCGAGCAATGCCCCTTTACCTCCTGCATATTTGGGACTTTTGGGGAGCAGAATGCTGGGTGCAGAGGAGAAATCTTGAGGCAGAACTAGGATGTCTCCCGCTTCTTTAAGGCTAGACCAGCAGCGCTGGCTTCACCTCCTTCCACCCAAAGTGCCGGGGAGTCCTGACTCTACCCCCTGGGGCAGACTGCCCAGCGGAGTGTGACGAGGCCCTCAGAGATCAACCCACTGGGCTGGGTTGGTGCCGAGGAGTCCTGACAGTCCACCGAGGGACCCCACTTGGTTGAAGCTGTGGCCAGGTCCCCTTGTCCTGAGCCTGCTCTGGGAACAGCTCCAAGACCACAGCTTCACCGGGGCCTCTGCAGGGCACGTTCACAGTCTGGCCTCCTTTGGGACCAGGGTACAGCAAGAGGGCATTGGGAAGGCACTGCCCTGGGAACAGGCACTGGGGGGTGGGAGGCAGGCAGCAGAAGGAGCCCGGTGCAAGGGTGGGGCCTCCAGACTCCAGCTCAGTTAAGGTCGCCAAGCAGGTAGAATCTTTCTGGAAGCCAGAGCTGATCACATCTCCCTGGAGGTCCCTTCAGGTCTGCCCTCCCTGCCACACCCTCACCAGACAAGCCACATCCCTGTGCCACCCCCAAGCGCTCACCTCCTCATTCGAAGCCCTGTACCTGGCCCACCAGGCTCCACTTTTCGTGCCTGGCCAAGCCCTACTAGAAAAGAAAATGTCACCCCCAGAGAGAGTCAGTCGATCACTTTACTGCCCGCTCTCTCCAGCATCTTGCAGATTTACCTACGCATAGGAGTCCCCTACCCAACCCCAGGCAGCCCAGGGTCCTGCACCCAGTGGCCCTCATTAACGGCTAACTGAATGGGAAGCTAGTGAGAGGGTGGGGCTGGGGGGCTAGGCATGGTCAGTCCGTCCATATCAGCCCTGGACAGAAGCAGTTTCCCCCATCCTGCAGCTGGTCCAGGAAGCAGCCCCCTTCGGAGGGCTTCACTGAGAGCTTCCACTCTGCTGGCTCTGCATCCACAGCATGGCCAGGCTGGAGGACGCTGGATGCTGTCCCAGGACGAGTCTTCAGTAGCCTCCCCGCTAGACTCCCCGCCTAGCTCCCTAGCTCACCGTAGGCACTACTTTTGGTTATGAGGTTCTGCCCAGCCAGCCCCCCGTCCCAAGGCCAGCCCATCCAAGTTGAGACCCCTGCCCAGGAGGCACTGCACTGCTGGCATCTGTGCCAACCTCCAGATGAGAATGAGAGGGGCTCCCAAGACCCAACACTGTGGGAAAGGAGAGCCCGGCCAGCCCCAGGGCAATCAGTGGGGAGGGGAGTCCCAAAGAAAGGTGGCCTGACACCAGACAGCAGGGGCAGCACGGGGCCAGGCAGCCGTGCCTTAGGGGCAGGGGCCTGACACGGGAGCGCCACCTGAACCTCAGAGCACAAGAGGCCTGGGCAGCGGCCTGCGAGCAGCTCCACCCCCGGCCTCAGTTCCCTTCTCTGAGGGAATGGGACAAGGTCACGGCCCAGCTTTGACACCGACAAAGCCCAAACACGGAATATAAAAGCATTACTTTGGCCAGGCGCAGTGGCTCCCGCCTGTAATCCCAGCACTTTGGGAGGCCAAGGTGGGCGGATCACAAGGTCAAGAGATTGAGACAATCCTGGCCAACATAGTGAAACCCCGTCTCTACTAAAAATACAAAACTTAGCTTGGTGTGGTGGCGCACACCTATAGTCCCAGCTACTTGGGAGGCTGAGGCAGGAGAATCAATTGAACCCAGGAGAGGGGGAGTTGCAGTGAGCCAAGATTGTGCCACTGCACTCCAGCCTGGTGACAGAGCAAGACTCCGTCTCAAAGCAAGCAAGCAAGCAAGCAAGCAAGCATTACTTTGCATCAGCCCCTTTCCACCACTGAGACCAACTGCCTGCAACTTGAGCAGACATTGAGGTGGGGGTGCAAAAGCCCAGCCCCCCTCCTTAGGGCTCAGCGGGGAAAGGAGTGGGGACTATCAGATCCTCTCTGGCCTTCAGCATGGCTCAGGTCCAGAGAGCAGGGACCAGGCAGAAGAAAGAGCTGGAGAGCTGGCGTCGCCCCACCCAGCACTTATCTCCTGCCCCAGAAATGCTTGCTCACGGCAGGGGAAATGGTGACATCCTGGGACCAGGCTTCCTCCTGGCCCTCAGTCACATCCGCCACGCTCTAAGACCCCCAGGCCTGCTTCCGCACGCAGCCCACAGGTGGAACCCTGCCACCTGCCCAGCCGGATCCCGGCCTCACTGTGGCCAACCCCAGAGAAGGGCCTTCTGCCCCAGCCCAGCTGGGAGATGCCAAATGGACCTTGGGAGGGGGACCGGGGTTTAGGGTGGGGCAGGGAGATCCTGAGAAAAAGTGAAGTGCAGAGTTCAGCTCACCCCCAGGTCCCATGGGTTGGGGCCTCTGTACCCTCCCCTGCCCAGGCTCAGGGCCTCCCCACTGCAGATGGCTTTGGAGATAGCATAACTCAGCTAGCAGCAGCTGAGCGCCGGCACATCCAACAGAAACGCAGACTCAGACACCATTTACCACTGCTGCCCAGAGAATCCGGTTTCCCCACAAAGGGTGGGGCTGGGCACTCCCAACCAAACCTGTCCCTCGAAGCTGGGTAAGCAAGGCCACTGCCAGGGAGGTCCCCAACAGAGATCTACCAGCCAGCCCACGCAGGGTACAAAGGACCCCCCAATTTGGACTGCGCCAGCCGCACGCCTCCATGCAGGGCCAGCCTACTGCCCCTCCCAACTCTGCCAGGTGTGGTTCCTTTTCTCCCCCCCCCAACCCCCCCACACGAGTGGGTTTCTAAAGGCTGCGGGTCTTGCTAACATAGGGTGCAGTCCCCACAAGCCCTGGGCTCTTTGTGCTCTATGGGCCAGGGCAGGGAGAGCGTGCAGGTGCAGAGCGGAGGAAAACACGGGGCTTGATGCAAGGGCCGAACCTGGGACAGAGTCGGGGACAGGCCCTTGGATAAGGAGTAAGCAGCCCCCTCCCCTCCAGACGGGAAGGAGGAAGACCATTATTAACCACTGGATATGACCGGGAGGTTTAGGGGACTTCCTGAAGGGAGGGGCTCAAGCCCCCTGAAGAGAGGAAGTGAGGAAACCACCCCCTGGGCCAGAAGTCCCCTCCAGCGTGGCTCTGGAGCCTCGGGTGGGTGAGGCAGTCACCGGGTGTCCCTGAGAGTGGGCAGTCAGGACAGAAGGGGGGGGCGGGGGAGGCCTGGGGCCACGTCTTCCTGGCTGAATCACAGGACGCGAGGCAGAAACTGAAACTTGTTTTCCCTGCCTGTGGCCCTGCTGGAAACCAGGGCATTTTTAGAAAGCTGCAAAGAGGAAGCTGGGACTCACCCGCTGTGCAACCCCCAGAAAAAACCCTGCTCCTGCTGACCCCAGGGGAGTTCTCCAGCCCCAGAGCCCGGAGGGATGGGTCATGGCACAGCCGTCTTCACCTCTGCCCACGTGAGGCTGGGCCTCATGCAGCCTGCGATGCTCCCCTGCACACTTCCTTGCTCTGGCGAGAGGTAGAAGGGACAAGAGTAAAGGGCAGGAAAGTGGCACGAAGACGGGCTGGGGCCTAGGGGCAGGATTTGGGGAGGGTCAGAAGAGGCAAAATAGGAGGGCAGGGGTGGCAGGGGCAGGAGCCGGTGGCAGTGTGAGCTCCATCAGCAGAGTTAGCAGAGGGGAGGGGGGTTGGGCACTCCGAGGGTGGGACACCCAGCTATCAGTCTCCAAAAGCCAAGCAGAAGCCTCTCTCCCTCCCTCTCAGCACCACCTCCCCAGAGGCCGGAGCTGGTGGCAAGT